AAAAAAGAGAGAATCAATTAAAATAAAAGCAAATCTCAAAGTTTTGGTATACAGTTTAAGGTTACCATAAACCTTGCTGCTTAAGTGGAAAATTATTTGTATTACAAGTGAAGTTTATGTAGAAATGCTTTTTAAGGACAGGAGAAAATAAGTCCTCTCATCTTGGGCTCACCTACGTTGCTGTAATTTCCTCTACCTCCTGTCTCCTTTCCTAGTCTGCCTCCTGTTTTATTCAGATTCCAGCTCTTATGTTTGTCACCATCTTTGTGAACTTCCATTTTCTAGCAACCTGGCCCATCCCTGGTGTCTGTGGTGATGGACTCCTGCTCCCACCTTTCGTTGTCTCATCCATCCACTTTGCTTGAGCAGATAGTTGGCTGGATATTTTTCCTGACTCCTATCTGAGGTTCATTAAAGCCCCATCTCATTATCTCCCTTCATGGAAACAGACATCTTTATCTATCACTTTTCAGTGACTTCTTCAAACACTTTTGGGCACTTCTGTTGTTCATTTGGAGTACCTCGTGCACAGTTAATGCTTCCTTGTGAGGGGCATGTTGGCTCCTTAGTCCAATACTTCCAAACCTAGTACGAGGCAATTTTAGAAATACCATATGTAAAACTTAGAAGTATCACACTGTGGATATACAAATTGTCGTCTTATTTTTTTCTCTATCAAATAAGGATCTTTGTGGTCAGCAAGTCAGACTACCATAATAACATTACTTTGATATTCACTGTATTTCCATAGTAATGATAATTATTTGCAAAAACATTTGAAAAAACTTTAGAGTATCCACTAAGGTTTAGTTAGTTACATTGTTTTATTTAGCAATGTGTTTTTTTCCACATATTGTAGCATGAATTGCACAATGTATATCATTGTTTCAGGATTCATAAAATAAAACTCATGTTCCTTCTACCAGATGGAACAAAGATTATTATATTTGGACGATAAATTAGTAAAAAAGGAAACTTGACATCCCCTTAACAACCATTCTTATCTGACATGCATTGTGACTAAAAAATATTGCAGGTGACAATACTGAACATTTTTATAGCTACAAAAAGCATAACAAAAATATTGAGACAAACAAACATAGTATTTCAGCTGAAGTGAGGTTAAGAAATAGGATCCCTTAAAAAAAATATTATGGAGATGCATATGCAGGGCCGGCTCTGGCTTTTTCGCCGCCCCAGGCGAAAAAGCTTCCGGCCGCCCCCCCCTGGGGGGGGGGCGGAGCCCCAGGGGGAGGGCAGCAAGCCCCGGCGGGGGCTCCGCTCTCCCCCCGGCGGCCGGGGGCAGGGCGCCGAGGGGGAGGGCAGCCGGAGCCCTGGGAGGAGGGCGGCGAGCCCCGG